AACTTTTTAAAGTATTTATAGAAATTTAATTCAATCAAATGAAACTCGACTGACAAATTATTACCCATAATGCTTTGCCTGCCACATTTTTTTACGTTTTAAAGATTTTAGATGAAACAAATATTCAAATAAAAAGAAAAAATAGATTATTATTTTTTGGTATTTTACTAAATGAATTTAAAGTTGGATGTAGAGAATGTTTATGATGCTCACAGGAATAAATGAGGATAGACGACACGTTTACGGGGTTTAACGCCTTAAAGCAGCTTCAGCATTAAAACGACAAACCGGTTCATGGTCACTTTTACGGCTGTTGGTGTTGATCGTTTTGCACGAGGAGCACGTGAACCGGGACAGCAGAGAAACAGTAAAAACAAATGAGAAGCCGATAGGAATCTCGGATAAACCTGGCGGACAATTTCCGGTGCGTCTCTGCTGGGAGCTGCAGCGTCACTGGTGTCCCACTGGGAGAGGCCCTCGGTGGTTACCATGCGCCATCTAGTGGCTGCAGCGGGTTTCCACAGAGGGTTAAAGGTGCTGCTGCTCTCTGCTTCCACTGAGACTCGGCTCTGGGTGGCTCTAAAATTAAAAGACAACATTCATAATGGGATTAAATAGGGTTGTGTTTGAGTTTTTAATAAGGAGATATAAAAATAGACTGAAAGGTTTGGATTTAAGCAGCTGGAGCTGCAGAGACACGAGGACAGACGCTGCGCGCTCCTCTCAGAGAGCTGCCATTGTGTGCCTCTCTTAGAATAAACGCACCCAAAACTGATCTGAGGGCTCTGAAGTGGGCCTGCAGAACCGACGTGAACACGTGGAACCGTTTTATTCACTCCTGGTGGCCACTCACAAACACGCAAAGCTGAGAGCTCTCCAGCACAAGCTGCGGGCTGAGCAGGGGAGCTCCACCTGCCTCGGCGTCTCGCTCCACGTGTGTGTTAACAGTTTATCTGTGTTTCAGGAGGAATGTCGAGCTGGAGGATCTGCTAATGCATTGTGACTCCTGCTGTCAGCGTTGCAGCTCTGCTCTGTCTTCCTGTAATTTCCAACCGTCTCCTCTGTCCTCCAACGCCTCAGAAGCCTGCTGCACCCTCTAGCTGCTGCTGGAGCTGCAGGTCTGCTCTCGGGTTTCATCTGTTCTGATGTTTTACAAAAGCTAAAGACGCTTTGAAAACACCTGCTTGGCTGCGTCTGATTCACCGTGTTCCTGCTGAAAGGATAATGAGAAGTTTGTGTGCTGCGTTTAAAGCCTCCTGGTAAATTACAGCTTCAGTCATGTGAAGCCAACATGTGAAGGATCTGGGACATATGGCACGCCTCCACTGTGGTTTACGTACAACACAAACCCTCTGCACGGCAAACGGTAATGACGCGCAAAGGTTCAACGGCGCTCAAAGAAATGAAAGGACATCAATTTAGGAGAGACGCACGCTGAGTCCAATTAATAAGGTAAAACAAAAAAGGGAAGAACTCCAGGCTAAAACCCTTCACACTAAAACAAAATGGTCATAAAAATGTAAAAAGAGGGAGAATATCACTCATACACGGGCTTTAGTGTTTATATATATATATATATATATATATATATATATATATATATATATATATATATATATATATATATATATATACATTATATATATAATGTGTATATATACATTATATATATAATGTATATATATGTATGTATATATGTATATATATATATACACACACACACACACACATATATATATATATATATATATATATATATATATATATATATATATATATATATATATATATGTATATATATATGTACATATGTACATATATATATATACATATATGTATATATATATATGTATATGTATATATATACATATATATATACATATACATATATATATATATATACATATATATATATATATACATATATGTATATATATATGTATATGTATATATATATATATACATATATATATATATGTATATATATATATGTATATGTATATATATATACATATACATATATATATATATATATATATATATATATATATATATATATATATATATATATATATATATATATCACACACATATGTGGTATTTTTTCAGTTTTTTATAAGGATTAAGCACATATTTGACATTCTATGCCCAGATTGTGATTTAAAAACTTTTTTAATTCAAATTAATATAAATATTTTTATTTCTGTATTTTAAATGTCACACAAACTTCTCCCAATTGGTCCACAAAGGCAGCTTGAACATGAACATAACCATTATCATCTTGAACGTAACTCTAAAAAGTAATTTTTTGATCCAGTCTAGACAATCAAAAACAACCGGAGCCTTATTATTATTTTTGTCGTTATTATTATTATTACTATTACTATTAGTAGTAGTGGTATCTGATCCATCTCTAGAGGCTTCAGCCTAGTTTATGTGCTCTTCTTTAATCAGGCCACAGCCTCGTCTCTTCTTGTTTGTCCAGCCAGTGGATGAAGCAGTCCCCGATGCCAAAGCTCTCCATTCATTAGACTGTTTTAATGTGCTTGAAAGCAGTTGTGTAAATACGCGAGCTGTTACAGAGAACAGAGAGGAATCCCTGAGTCTGTGCAGAAAACCCAGGAGGGACTACAGCTCCAACTTATGCCTTTTATCATATTAATCCCACACAACGTCATTTTGCAGGTCCCTGAAAAGGACTCAGAAATTGCCTCTAATAGGCTTCAAATCAAGCACTAATTAAAACTGCATTAACCCTAATGAATCTGAAAAATTGAGACCCCAATTTATTGGAGTTGTGTTTATACAAGAGCCTCTTTCAATAATACATGACGCAAGTGGCTGTGTGGGTTTGGCCCTGCTTCCTAATGCAAACCTCCTGTGATTGTGTACACGTGAAATGTGTGCACGCATCGGCGCGGCGTGCTTTGCCCCTCGTCATCATTACAGACCCCCGTTAAAGGTTAACGTTAACATTCAGGTCTCTTTAGCTCTGTGGAAGGAGATGGAGCCGCATGGTGCCAATCAGCGTCACAGATGTTCATAATTGTTGCCTAATTGCTTCATTACTCGTGAGGAGGCCTCGCGTCCCGTCCGCGGCCGCCACCACATCTGGATTTTTTTGGGATGCCCCCTACCGCTCCACTGAGAAGCCTCTCCTGAGTTTTAACATGTATCTGCTTGTTGGCATGATTTCCCAAGAGCTCACCGTTTATTTGTATGCTGATTCGGCCTCAAACGCCTTTAATGGAAATTCCCATGGCTGGTGGGAGTGGAGCGCTGGTGCCAATTTGTTGACAGGAAGAGCTCACTTTGAATGAAAATGGGGGAAAAAATGGAGGAAAAACAAAAGTGTAATTGATGTCAGTGTTGTCTTTTTCTCTCATGTAGCACACAGAGATTTTTCCAGTCAGTTCATATTTTTCTGAATTTATCCCAGTTTTATAGTCAAAAGGCCCTCGAGACCTTACCTGAAGAGCCACCTGCTGTCCTAATGAAGCAAGCTTTGTGGGAGGGACCGGGGAGGGGGGGGGGGGGGGGATCTCTTGCCATTTGAAATGATTGAAAAAATATGTAGATAACAGTAATAAAAAATAAAAATTGGTCCTTTCCACCTGCTGATTCTCCACCAGGGAGCAGTAGACATACACAGGACTGGATATATGAAGGCACTAATCTTGATACTCCATCTGGACATAAGGACATAACTGGTAAGATGAGAGTTAACAACTAAAATCAACAAGGGGGCAAATCCTTTAGTAATTAAGGTCCAAAACAAATATTTTATTTCCTTGTGTTTACATCAACTGCTGTATAATCTACCATCTTATGATCTGAGGCTAATTCCTCTAAAGGACAATATAATGCATTTTATTCTGAATTTTAACCTTTACCAGAGATTTGGAGTGATACACTAAACTGGTTTAAGTTTTATTTATCTAAAAAATTCTATTTTGTTCAAGTAAAGTATTTTCATACACCAGATTTTGCCGCAGGGTTCCTCAGGGTTCAGTACTTGGTCCGGTACACCTTACTTCATAAATGCTTCTACTTGGTGAAATTGCTAGATGGTAAAGGGTACATTCGTGTTGTGACTCCTACGACTACCATATGAAACACGATAACTGAACTACCTTCTTCTATGTGGGCACCTACTTACTGTAGACTAGAATAACTAGATTAGCTATTTATCACTACAAGACTTTATTATTATAATTATTTACTCTCAACGATGTTTATGTTTATTTATTTGGGAGACATTTCATCCAAAGCGATGTACAGTTGTTAACCTACAGAGCATGCTGTGATGTGTGGGGGCATGGACGTAATTTGGGGGGGGGGGGACAGGGGGGACACGTCCCCCCCACTTTTTCCAAAGTCAAGTTTGGACCCCTGCACTTTTTACCATCCAAAAACAATATTATGCTATATTAAATTGACACTGGTTGAGCTCTAAGACAAAGCGGAAAACAGCCGTTTGTGTTGAAAACTGTTTCCCATTAGAGCATACTGTAAAGACCCCCCCCCCCCCCCCGTGTCCCCCCCCACTTCTAAAGTGAAAATTACGTCCATGTGTGGGGGAAACCGGAGTACCCGCTTGCATGTGGAGAACATGCAACTCCACGCAGAAAGACCACAGCCGGGTTTCGAACCTGCAACCTTCTTGCTGCGAGGCCACAGTGCTAACTTCTGCGCCGACCTCTTAAAGATCTCTGACTGACCTGAAATGCCGACTTCAGAAAACAAATCGCATTTTTCCAATTTTAGCATCATCTCATTGGCTACGTGTAAAATTCAGAACAAATATTAAATGGAACCGGGGTTCTAAGATGTTTTTTTCATCTTCCCAGTTGTCATCCGTAAAGCAGGCTGTAGTTTTAAGACTTCAATTCTAACTTCCAAATTGAATAACGCTTAGCTTGGGTTATCCTAGCTCATCCCTTTAGTTATGCTATAATAGGTTTGGACTACTGGAGGACATAAAGACCACATTTCCTCTGTTTGCTCTTTACACTCCTAATCCTTTGTTTTCTTTTTCCCCTCTTTTTTTTTTGTTTTGTCTTAAAAACCAGAGCATGGTATTACTGAATCTGTTAGTATTTTATTATACTTGCATTCAGCTAAACTGTATATTATTCTGTTTGGTGGCATGTATCAGTTACCAACCAGATCTGTTTACCTTTTATACAGAGTCCTGCGATGATTGAATTAAACACAAGTCATTAGAGCAAAGGGAACATTTACCGTGGCATTTGCCGAAAGTGTCACTTGTCACATGATTTTCTAAACGTGAAAGGGTAGAAGAGGGTACCAGTGTTTGACTTCAACCCTCCAGCCACCTCCACCCACCCACCCACCCACACCATCTGTTTATGTATCCGTGCTCATGTCAAGCCCAGACCTGCACATGTCAGTTATCTTCCCACCATATGGATTTCAACTGTGGCTTTTGGCAGATGTTTGTCCAACCACTGTTCAATTAGACACACGGGACTTTGTGTCACCTTGTGGGAGTTTGAAAGATTGGTGTCAGTTTTAGATTTTCAGTCCTCATTGGTGGATTTTTTTAAGGTCGTAATCCAGTTCAGTTGTTATTCATACAAGAAATGGATTTTACTCTTATTTATTCATTTCACCTTTACTTTTACAATAGTCTGGAGTTTTACCAGTCCTTACCTACAGAACATGCTTATTTTATATGAATATTTATCAAATTATATTCTGGGGATTAAATCCTCCCCTTAGATGTAAAGAGGTAATAAATCATTTTTAGAGGCGGGGTTCCCATGTGCCTGTTGTCAGTTGTCAGTAGGCATGTCAGCACTTGATTCTCCCCGACAACCGAAGTACAGACGGCCGCATCTCCAGTGAGGCGTGCTGAAGTCCTCTGAGAGCCTGGTGTGATGTCAGCACTAAACAGTCATGATTTGTATCATGCTATACAGGTGCTGGCCAGTAAATTAGAATATCATCAAAAGGTTGAAAATATTTCAGTAATTCCATTCAAAACGTGAAACTTGTACATTATATTCATGCAATGCACACAGACCAATGTATTTCCGATGTTTATTACGTTTAATTTTGATATTTATAGGTGACAACCAATGAAAACATCAAATCTGGTATCTCAGAAAATTAGAATATTCTAAAGGCCAATGAAAAAATGTTTGTTTCTCTAATGTTGGCCAACTGAAAAGAATGAACATGAAAAGAATGTGCATGTATAGCACTCAATACTTAGTCGGGGCTCCTTTTGCCTCAATAACTGCAGTAATGCGGCGTGGCATGGACTCGATCAGTCTGTGGCACTGCTCAGGTGTTATGAGAGCCCAGGTTGCTCTGATAGTCGTCTTCAGCTCCTCTGCATTGTTGGGTCTAGCGTATTGCATCCTCCGCTTCACAATACCCCATAGATTTTCTATGGGGTTAAGGTCAGGCGAGTTTGCTGGCCAATCAAGGACAGGGATACCATGGTCCTTGAACCAGGTGCTGGTGGTTTTGGCACTGTGTGCAGGTGCCAAGTCCTGTTGAAAGGTGAAGTCTGCCTCCCCATAAAGTTGGTCAGCAGCAGGAAGCATGAAGTGCTCTAAAACTTCCTGGTAGACGGCTGCATTGACCCTGGACCTCAGGAAACAGAGTGGGCCAACACCGGCAGATGACATGGCACCCCACACCATCACTGACGGTGGAAACTTTACACTGGACCTCATGCAACGTGGATTCTGTGCTTCTCCGCTCTTCCTCCAGACTCTGGGTCCTTGATTTCCAAAGGAAATGCAGAACTTGCTTTCATCAGAAAACATAACTTTGGACCACTCAGCATCAGTCCAGTCCTTTTTGTCCTTGGCCCAGGCGAGACGCTTCTTGCGCTGTTTCTTGTTCAAGAGTGGCTTGACACACGGAATGCGACACCTGAATCCCATGTCTTTCATGAGTCTCCTCGTGGTGGTTCTTGAAGCGCTGACTCCAGCTGCAGTCCACTCTTTGTGGATCTCCCCCACATTTTTGAATGGGTTTGTCGTCACAATTCTCTGCAGGGTGCGGTTATCCCTAGAGCTTGTACACTTTTTTCTACCACATTTTTTCCGTCCCTTCGCCTGTCTGTTAATGTGCTTGGACACAGAGCTCTGCGAACAGCCAGCTTCTTTAGCAATCACCTTTTGTGTCTTGCCCTCCTTGTGCAAGGTGTCTATGATTGTCTTTTGGACAGCTGTTAAGTCAGAAGTCTTCCCCATGATTGTGGTGCCTTCAAAACAAGACTGAGGGACCTTTTAAAGGCCTTTGCAGGTGTTTTGAGTAAATCAGCTGATTAGAGTGGCAGCAGGTGTCTTCTATATTCAGCCTTTTCAGAATATTCTAATTTCTTGAGATACCAAATTTGGAGTTTTCATTAGTTGTCACTTATGAATATCAAATTTAAATGTAATGAACATTGGAAATACATTGGTCTGTGTGCATTGCATGTATATAATGTACAAGTTTCACGTTTTGAATGGAATTACTGAAATATTTTCAACCTTTTGATGATATTCTAATTTACTGGCCAGCACCTGTATGTAATTCAACTCAGTTTATTTATAAAGTCACCAGCAAAAGTCATCTCAGGGTGCTCTGCAATAAAGCTAAACACCTAATCCAAACCCAGATTAAATCCAACTATTTGCAGTCAATTTAATCAAGCTGCAATATAACCAGTCTCAGTGTGTTATGAGTATTTAAGCAGTAAGGCAGATTGCATCTTCATCATAATTAGGGGTAGACCAATATATTGGTCATGACGTTTACCTATCGGCAATAGAAAAACCAATATTGGTCAACTTCTAATCCTAATCCTTTCTGAGAATGCACGGGGTGACAGTGGGAAGAATTGACACCATTTAAAGCAGTTCCCTCACACCCTGGTCTTCAAGGACCCCTATCCAGCATGTTTTAGTTGTTTCTCTGCTCCAACACACCTGATCTGAATCAGTGGGTGCTTCTACAGTGCTTCATGACCTGCTGAACAGGTGATTAAACAACTGAATCAGGTGTGAATCAAAGCGAGTGAAAGACTTTGATCCTAAAGTGCTCTGGTCCAAAAAACACCAACAAACTGTCTGGTCTGACAAACATAGAAAACATGCTTATTATCCAATTATCAGATTGGCTTTATTAGACATCACAAATAAATATAATAGAGTATCATCTGCAAAACTGTGGAAATGTCTTGCATAACGTTGAATATTTTTACCTAACGCTGGATTTTATTAAAATGTACTGATCCGAACATAAAACCCTGAGGAACTCTAAGGTTTAATTTAAACTCTCAACACCATGGCCAAGCCTCTGTAATACGTAGAATAATTTGATCAGCTGTATCTAACAGTACCAGTGCAGACACCAAACTACCTTATGAGACCATGACAGTTTTATTAGTACCTTCTTCCAGAGCTGTTTCAGTGGCATGATGAGCTCTAAACTGTGACTGAAACTCCTCAGACGGATGTAAAGTTACATTGCAGTCACTATTTCAAAAGGAGAGGTTTTCTAATGTAAAGCAAATACCTCCTTAACCCTCTCAGGCTCAAAATAAGTTTTGATAAAAGGACGTAGGGCTGCTCAATTAATCGAATTTTAATCACGATTACGATCTGAGTTTTGAACGATTATAAAAACAAAACAAGCCGATTATTTGCTCCTCCCACTTGTGCTGCCCTGAGTTGCAAATGAAGCGCTCCTCCCACAGTGTTGCCAACTTAGCGACTTTGACGCTATTTCTAACAGCTTTTCAGACCCCCTTCTTGACTTTTAAATCGTAAAAGTACCTAGCGAACACCTCAGAAACATCTCTGGTAACCCTTAGCTACTTTCTGGATAACTGTCGTCAACATTTCCTGCAGGTTAGCTAAACACTCCGCCTGCGCTCCGGACCGTTCTTCAGGACATTAGGAAAGGGAATGATGTAGTGATGTATCAGTTGCTATAGAAACGGCTCTCGGAGCCGGCTCCCTGTTGGATTAACCAGAGTGAGTGACACACACACCGTACCTGCGGACTCCTGAGCCGCTAAAAACAGCTAAATGTTTGCGTGCGGCGCACTAAACACACGTGCAGCTTGCCCTGATTGCTGTGAGACCGGGTTGGGGGGTGGGGGGTGCAGCTGTGGTTGGGACAATTATAACATTAACTGATGGACCTGTAAATAAATAGTTTATAAATAAGGTAGAAATAAGTTCCTCATGCTGATAACTAATAACTAATCTCTCTGAGGACACGGTGCTAGTGCACGCTCCTACAGCACCTTGACACGACTCAATAAATGTTATGCAACATTTTGTGAACATCAATTTATTTGCATGTATTTGTTATGAATGCCACTGTATAATTCTTGCTGTCAGTATTAGCAAGATATTGGTATTTGGGTCTGTACTGGTTAGACTTAAATGAGTTAAACCAAGGTCTATAGCCCTTGGGTCATAGACTATGAGCTATAAGTATATTGGTCTTTTTATCCTGGGAATCAGGAGTTATTTTAGTGATCATCTTGTTTCTTATTTATTTTTGTCCTGAATGTGCCCTGAGCAATTTTATGACTGAATAAAAACAATTATAATCAACATAAATTGAAAGATTATCCTAAATAATCGAGATCTCAATTTCAGTCACCATAATCGTGATTATTATTTTTGCCATTATCGAGCAGCCCTAAAAGAACGAACAACTAAGTCCTTCGGGGGAACTTCTGAGTTAAAAAATGCTCATGAAGTACGTGTGTGGAGTAACCAGGTAGGTAGGTTTTAACGTTGCTCATCTGCAACGCCTGCCTCCAGAGGGTTAAGCAGTGTTGTTGGGATCTAGCTGATTTGTTGAGGCTATTTTTTTTGCCAACTTCAAGTCAACAGGGCAGATAAATCAGATTCTGTTACGCCTGAAGTTGTCCAACTTTCCAACAAACCGACAGCTATAGTCTCTCTAAACAAAACCATGTGATAACTGTTCCTCCAGGTTAGATCCACCCTTCCAACTTAGTGCAACACTATTTTTATTCAAACCATCATCAAGTCTGTTTAAAAATGTTCAGCAACCTTCTCCGTTTACTGCCTTAACAGAAGATCAGCTTTGTCAAATGGAGTTAACATTAAAGCAGTAAAACGACCAATGAGATGATAAGTTAGGGGGGGATGTAAAATGCAGTTTTCTGCCCTTTGTTGTCTCGCCTCGTTGGACTGAAGGAGGATTCTTTAAATGTGGTTTCAGCGTTCTCTGATAGACATCTATATTAATAAAGAGGTCTCTTGGAGACTGAAGCCAGTTAATGCAAATTCAAAGTATCTAGTCAGAACAGGGTTGTAAGGATGGCATAGACACAAGTGATGCATCACTCATACTCAGTGGGTGTTTCTCAATGTCATGGAACCTTGCCTTGATGTCTTGGCCCCACCCCGGTTGCCTAGGAGATACGTCATCGGGGAGCCGCCAAGGCGTGTTCCAATGTTCATGTTCTACCGAGGTGTGTGTTCTCCGTTTGTTAGCCGTTTAGCTAGCTGAGCAAGGATACACGGGAGGTGTCTTGTAGCCTAGCCTTGGTCAAAAATTACCCACAATACACCGCGGTATTTTCAAAAGGACAGCGGATCAGAAGCCGGCAGCTTCTTCGGGGACAATTTTAAAGTTTAAAAGTAAGTCAACTAATTGAAAAAGTTTTTATTTTTTAGATCCAAAGAAGTTATCTATGGTTGGTTAGTTGCTTAGTAGTTGCAGCTTCGGTGGCTAGCGGGTAGTAACTCACTTATCCATTTAATTTAATAAACATATACACAATGTAAAAAGTAAAAGCCTCGTTACATATTTATATTGAAACTTATACGTATAAAATATAACGTTATATCCAGTGTCACGTGACGTTACGTGACCGCCGTGGAAGCCGCGGTCACGTGATGCAAGTCTGTTCCATTTAACCGTTTCCTTTGACCAAGGAAGGACCGTGTCCTCGTAAGCAAGGCGTCTGGCCTCGCAAGACATCGCCTCGCGAGGCCAGGCGCCTTGACACTGAGAAACACCCATTAACTCCACGGAAATCGCCATAATGGCTCCCACTCATCATCTCCTACAGCGCACATTGCTTTGAGTTGCCACACATTTTTAGTTCAAAGTTGCTCCAGATTGCCCCGACAGCGGATGAAATGCTTGGTGCTCTTTGTTGCTTTTGTGCAACAAACCTAACAGCAGCGACGACGGGGAAGTAATTTATTCCTTGAAGTAATTAAATGCCTACTTGATCCTTTTTTTTCTCCCAGAGAAAATGCGAGAATGTGACAAACAAATTAAAGGAGCGCGGCTGTAATTTGTTTGCCAGGGCGAGGATGACTACACGTATCCCGTGCACGGTGGAGACACCACAAGTGGAGCAAACGCCTTTTTATCTACGGAGCTACATTTTGAAGTTTAGGAGAAAACTATTTGGAAATGTGCATTTTATTTTATTTGTTATTTATTTTTTTGTTTTATTAATTACATTTTCTACAACCCCACTTACTCCTGCAGTTTAATTAATGACGCTGGTTATCAGCCGTGCTTAAGGGGTAATGGACAATGGTGAATTTTGAGTGTGTACAGCACTGAGGAGAAATCCTGCTTTACCCCTTTGTAATGGACTGCCAGTTAACAAGAGATTAACAGTGTTTGTCTCTCCTCCTGCTGCTGTGTTATAAAGTAAAGGAAAGAGAGGGAGGGTGTGTGTGTGTGTGGGGTGGGGGGTGGGGGGGTATTAAGCACACAACTTTGAAATGATGACTTGAAATAGCTTCCATGGCTAAATGAACTGGCATGGCCCTTCAACACCTAATCCATACCATAATTCCTGATCTAATTAGTGGAAGGGTCAGCGCATTGAAGAAGGATGAATGCAGACGGCCTGTGAGCCCGGAAAATGGAGGTCATAAGAACTGGAGAGAAAAGAGAGAAGAAAGGCGAAAAGAACCAAAACACAACAGGGTACACATTTGTGGTTCTATTTTCTGCACAGAACATCTGAAATGTAAAAATGTTAGCATGTTTAAGTGGTCGTTAAATGTTCGTTTGTGCAATTCTAACACATTTCTTCTCTGTATTTACGCTCTGCGACAAAGAAAGTCCGAGAAACAGGCAACTCTGACATCACAAACGCAGAGAAAACGAACGATTCACCTAAACCCGACAATAGATTCTAGAACCCCATTGCTAACCCCCACCATTTAAGAAAATAAATTACATAAGAGAAACACGAAGAACATTAAACACAAAGAGAAAGCAGGAAGAAGAAATACCGGGACGAGACAACAAGAAGAATCTTATGTCGGACCAAAAGGAAAGAAAGAACCACATCTGGGTTTTAGTCCACTACCGTATTTTCCGGACTATAAGCCGCTACTTTTTCCCACGCTTTGAACCATGCGGCTTTTAACGAGGTGCGGCTTTAGTCAACCAGACAGGATGGATGCTGGAAAGTCTAATGAAGGAATGGTTAAAGGAGCGCTACGGAAAGCGCCCAGGAGGATTTTTTTCACAGTAAAACGGCGCTGCTTGTTTTCCCAGCTTCTCCCCGGGATGATGACAGCAACACGGAGAGCGACACTGACATCGCCACAGAAAAGGTGTGTGACGAAGCTCTTCTGAGGCTGTTCAACTCCGACACTGAAGAAGAAGAGGACTTCAGTGGTTTCAGTGCGCAGGAGGACGATGAATAAACTAATCAATAACTTTTCTGTTTTGTTTGATACTGATCAGTTCAGTCACGTTCAGTTAAACTACGCTTTCAATTCAGTAGATATCTGCGGCTTTTAGCCCGGAGCGGCTTAAACTGAGGTGCGCTCTATAGTCCGGAAATTACGGTACTTCTTCTATTGCGCCATCATCAGATGAACCGTGAACTTTGAGTGTTTCCAGTCCCAGTTTCACATAGGGCTGTCGCGGTAACCGCAAAAATGAAATATCGCAATATGAAGAAACCCACCGCGCTGCATCATGGGCCACCGCGATTACTGAACTTGGTTCAACTCAATGATGCATGTTGAGAAGGATGGCTGCACTGGTATCAAAACGAAACGTT